AAACAAATATTATTTAATGCTTAAATCATTTAGTATTATCATTGATGTTGCATGGATTTCATAACAAATAATATCGTTAGTCTCATCTATTTCTATTTTCTTCATTTCAAATATCTAACTTTCAATTCGTCCAATATTTTGATTTAAATCTTTAAATTTAGATTAATTTCTCTTATTTAATATGTGGAAAGCTATATCAAAAGCATTGAAACTTATGAATGCAATTTTTAATTTTCGATTTAAAATTTTTGATTAAAATTTGACTATAAAGAATTTATCCTTGTCGTTGATAGATTTGAAATATACAAATGTCATATTTTAATTTTTCTTTAAAATTTTCTTTCCAAAAATTCTGATTTAAATTTCTTCTATCTTCAAATGCAAAAGAAAAAACGCTAACTTTTTCTTCAGGAATATCTCATTTCACCTCTTCTCTCACATTTTCTTCATCTCAATACAATTTTGATCAAGCAGTCCAGCTGTCACAACCGGCAGCAGCAGCATCATTCACATTTTCCCATGCGATGAAGATGACTCTATGACACATTGCATTGCAAATGCCATCTTATCCTTCTTCACTTTTTCCATTTTCTCTTTCACTCATTCCCTGTCATTCATTTTTGTTATTAAATAAGTCCAACTAACTAACTAACTAACTAGCTAACATAATAGCATAGTATCATCGTATCATAGCATCATTGTTTCATTATTCCTTCTTTTTCAGCGCCTATAATAACAATTCGAAATTAAATGGAAAGCGATCGTTAAATTTGATTCCGCAAGAATAATTTGTCACTTTAATTTACGAACTGATTGTTATGGCTAAACCATCACTTGCTTTATTTCATCATTTACATGGTAATTCATTATTAAAACAGGTAACCTTTTTTTATTCATATTATTTTTAATTATTGATTTTTGAAATTATATTAAATTTTATCTTTGATTATAAAATTGTCAATTTTTTTTGATTAAAACTTTTTCCTAAATTTTTAATTTTTAATGATTTTTTTGATTAATATAAGAATTATTTCAAATTGTAATATTAATATTTGATTGTTAGCATAATGAAAAATTTGTTGGCATAAATTTAGTGACAGTCTAATTTGATTAAATCAATATCTATTGAAATCTAATGAAAACTTTGTTATCATTCCTTCCTGAATTTCTTGCTAAAATGTTTAATTTAGGAATTTATTTTATTTATTTGATAGTGCCTATAATTTTTATATGCAAATAAATACGAATGAATTCTATTTGTTAATTAATTATAGAACATTAGATAAGTTAGCTTGCACTATTTTGATTAGTTAATATTTTATTACAAATTTGTTTTGCTTATATCTGTCAAGAAGGATTCAATGTTTTCAAATAAATTTTAATTATTTTTTTACGTTTTAAAATTCCAAAGTTGTCATTAATTTTCAGTCGATGCATTCTTTTATTTATATTTACTTCGCGTGATATTTATTTCTAAAAAATTGAATTTAAATTTTAAATTGAAAAGACATAGAAATTAAAGGTAGAATGTTTTTAAGAAAATTTTAAATAAAAAGTCTTCTAAAAATATATTTTCGAATTTCGAAAAGCCAATTTAACGGGATCTTTTTCCGATATTACAGATGATTATTCAATTGATAGAGTGGGGTAATATCTATCGTATAAGATGTATCAAATAATATGAGTGTGGAAAAGTGTTAACAATAAATAAAGTCAAGCGTGGCTAAAGAAGTTTAACTGATTAGATATTTCAGAAAGATTACAATCGGCTTGCAAAAATTCAAAATAATTCTTTTGCTTCTCATATATTAATTAATTTTTCAAATCATTAAAAAAATCTTACAAGCCATTTATTACCTGTTTCATTAACTTTCAACTTCTATCATCCACGGTAGTTGTCAACCATCAATTCATTTGCTACCGTTTTGTAATCATCTCAATCACAGGCTCTTTTAGTGGCAGATATGATAAAACTATAAGTCTTTTAGGACTCATTTTAGAAAATGTTGTTAAACAACCATAATTCAATCTTATGAAATGGTTGAATTATGGTTGGGAAACTTTCAAACTATTAATTTTTAGCTCTTATCACTTTTTGTAGATAATTTAATACACAGGCTCTTTTAATGGCAGATATGATAAAACTATAAATCTTTTAGAACTCATAAAAGCCTTATGAAATGGTTGAATTATGTTTGTGAAACTTTCAAACTGTTAATTTTTATCTTTTATCACTTTTTGTAGATAATTTCATAAAATTGAAAAGTTCGAAAGAATTGGATGTAGTAATTGCAGAATTCGTCGTAGCTAATCACAACATTTTAACACAAAAACTTCATAATTATAAGCATCGATCGATAATTTTTATTTATAATCATTAAATCTCTTTCTTCGTTAAAAAAAAAATTTTAATTTTCTGAAATAATTTTTTTGTGATGATTTTGATCTGTTAAAGGTTTCTTTGCTAAAAAAAAAATAATTAAGGTTTCGTTTTTTTTTGTTTAAAAAAGGCTTTAAATTAATGAATTTTCTTTTATGCTAGTTATCCATAGAAAATCACATCAATTCTGTCTTCTTTGAAAGTTTTCTTTATTTTATATTTTTTTGAAAATCATCTTCACTAATATGTATAATAGATTTAATGGTTTTTTTCACTAGCTAGTCCAAACTTAACGTAAAATGTTTAAAAGTCAAGAAATTGAAATGGAACTTAATTAGATTGGATTCTGACGTTGGAACTTCATAGCTCAAAAGGATAGATATGAAAGTATCCAAATAGCATAAAATATTAAATTAAATTTTGTTGATCAAGAACCGTCAAAGTTTTTGCTCTAATTTGACAATGAGGGTATGTGTGTGTATGTATTTTGATGCAATATTTTTACATGATAAAAATAACAAGCCCCATTAAATACCCCTCCTTTATACTCAAATCGTTAATCTAAATTTTTATTTGACTAATGAAAGCAAATTTTTCATCATTATTAACTTATCAATATCAGTAGAACTTATCTTTTCAGTATCAGTAGTTCAGAATTCAGTAAAGAGTTAATAAAGGCAAGCAACTGTTTGTTGAACAAAACTTTTATAAATCATTTTGTTATCAAAGTTTCACCAAATGACGAGCAGAAGTTCCTATATATCAATTAAATGAATGATAATAGAAATATTCAAGTTGAATTTTCTTTGGGTAATATTGCCGAAGTTTATCGATTCAAATATCATTTGTGCAACTATCGTTGTTTTAGCTGTCCTTATTTTCTACCATGTGTAAATAACAAACGTGAAAAATTTAATTGGAAATGATTTTTAGTCAAATTAGAGAATTGATTGCCACGATTGCAATTCAATTTTCCACTTTCTGATCATTTATTCAATAAAATGTATTTATGGCCAAGTTGAATAGAAATAATTGGCCTTAAAAGTGAGGAAGAGAAGGGAAAAAAGAAAGGAATTGTCGCTCATTAGGCCATCATATTTTAAAATTATATTTTCCTAAAATAGCAACTTGATAATTTAGTTGATAAATCAAATTGGAATTCAATATTTTTGATCTGAAAACCAAATTTTTGTCGCAAATTTTGAACTCTTAACAAATAACAATCTTTCGTAAGGAAGTCGAAATATCGATCGTCAATAACGCAATGAGAAAATCAATCGTTCTATCAGGAAGATAAATTTTGTTAGTGAAATTGTTAGATTATTGATTGATTATAATACAAGAAAATTTCTAGGAATGCAAATGTAACAAATTTCCGGTTGTTATACAATTGTGTTACTGTAAGAATTGTTTAGCTATCCCGAGTTTTCCTAAATCTTCTGGATATTTCTTTTTCTATTTTCATCTTCTACAACGAAAATTGAAAATAAAATGAATTACTCTAAGTCATGGTCCCTTTTAACTTTCAACTACTGATAACTTTCTAATATTTAACTCAATCGAAAGTTGCGAAAATAGTTACGAAAATAGTTACGAATAGTTACGAATGTATAAATAGTAAAAGAAAGTGGAATGATATTCTAATATAATGACGAAATCCCATCCTTTCCATTTAGCTCATATGCATCGAATTATGTAAATTTAAAAACCGGAATTTTAACCGGATCAACATCATAGAAAACTTCCTTATGAACTAAGTTTATTGCAATATATAGTCGTTGTTATCATAATAATACATATACATTCATAATAATACATATACACTGTATCTTTCTAAATAGTATCATAAGCTGCTATTTCATCATTGATTGTTAGAAAGTTATCATACTTCTGAATTCCATCGTAATTATTTAATCTGAAATATAAAAAGACTATTGCTTTATTTTTTCTTCTGTTTAAATATATTTTCGATGTTATTTTACGCATATGATTATATGCTATTTTATTTTCTCCAAAATGAAGCTGGAAATAACGATTACGTCTTATAAATAATAGTTTATAATGTGAAGAGATGAATAATTGAGTGACTTTTCATGAGAGCCATGAAGATTTCTAATCTCTCACACTCTTTAAAAATAAATGAATAAACATATATATATATATATATATATATATGTATATATGTTTATTCATTATATATATATATATATAGAACATTGAATCATATATTTATACAACATCCAAAAATGTTATCAGAAAAAACATGGAATCAAACAATTTGTTGGAGACAGATCAGGAAGTGATAAACAAAATAAACAAAAACAATGATTTTCGTCATATAAAAATTTAATTAGCGATGAAAATAAAAAAGTAGTCCATGCGCTCTTCAAACACGTATCTTCCATACATTCGTTGTAGTATCAATTAGAAGGTGAAACATTAATGAATTCCAGGTGGGTTATACGAAAAGACGATAATTAGAAATATAATGAGAATCATAACCATCTGAATTTTTGAAGTATAGGATTCATTTTTTTTGTAGTAAAATAGAATTGTTATCTAATAGATTCAAATTTCTTATTGTTTAAATTAATGCTAATATTCCAGATCTACGATCAAAATGACTAAAGAGAAAGAAAAGGTGTGTTTACAAATCTTCAATAATGAATTTTGAATCGTTTCAAAATATGATTTAAAAAAGTATTGTTATAGCAAGAAGAAACTGAAATTCAAACAATTCATCCAAACAAAGAGCAATTAACTCGGCGGTATGCGTTGGTACCTGAGCAGGTAGTGATTGTTGATTAATTTATTTGCAATTTCTCAATGCATATATGCAGTAAAAATGAAATATAAAGTGCAAGTTATATAAAGGTCATTTCTTTTTCGAAAAGTGAAAATCTGCTTAATCTTTTTGGTAAATTTAGCTCAAATGTTTATATGACATTAAAGCATTCTTTCATTTCCATCACTAAAACTGAATGAACCGTCAACCTTTATTATCTAATTAATCTTTTATACCTTGCAAAACTTTGACATCTATTTAAATATGTTACTGCTAAACACTTTGACCTGTTTACAGCAAAGCATCCAACAAGATGAGTAAGTATTCTCAGCATGCTTTTAAAATCTTTCTAATTAAATGCGTTTTCAGCTTTTTAAAACGAGGATTTAATTTCATGCAATACCTTTATTTTATTTTCTTTCTTAATTCTTAATTTTACTTTCTTAATTTCTTTCTTTTCTTATTTATAAAATTAATCTATCCAACGTGGTAAATAAATTATTAAGTCGAATAACTTAAGACCAGCATATTGAGATTGCTTTACTATCCGCGATTAGGAGGCTCTTAGTGATGTAAAACTGTATTACATTTCGCTAACATCATCATGTCAATCATTGCTGTATATCGTAAAAACCTTTTTGCCTTAAATTTTTGTTTAATTTGAATATTCATATTTTCCTATAATAGCCTGCACGAAAATGAATTCGAACTAAAAGACTAGAAATTAAGATATGACAAGTTTTACAGTGCTGAGAGGCAAGGTTGTTCGGATAATGTAATTATTGTACCACACCTGAAGATATCTCCCAATGATTCACAACTTTTCAGTCGAGCAATAAGTTCCGGAGGTGGACTATTGGCTGGTAACTATTTAAGATTACTTTTACTCAGTGCACTTTAACAGTTTTACAAGAAGACTCATCGAAATTAGCGCTGTATAGCTTCGGGAATGCAACACATTCCACTGTACTCATATTGTTATGATTAAAAAGTTTATTTTGAAAATTAAGATTCAAGAGATAAATTCCTAAAATTAAATGGATTTATTTTTTACATTAAAGTCTTGATATTCGGATACCGCTGACATAATAATTAAAAGTTTTGGCAGATAAGTTACTTCCAAGTGCGCAAGCAAAAATAAATTAGCAGTTTGTTTCTGGCGAAGTTTAATTTGATTCTATCACCGTATCCAATACTGCCATAAATACTATGAATTAAAAAAATTTATCATCGTAAAAATGCAGATTTACAAAGGGCAACAATTGCAACTCAAGCATTTTATGCCGATGCAAATGAGCAATCAAGGACCAGATCACCATGGATTCTGAAGCGATTGGTGCCCTTTGAAAACAATTATTTATTTAAAATTTATTATTAGCCTTTGTGCAAAAAGCAAATTTGATTATTTTTAAATTTTGAAATTCTTATTCACTGCAAAAGAAGGATTATGAGCTGCGAATGAAATCAGGAGGAAAGAAGCCTTGAAAATAAACCTTTTCGTATTCAAATTTGATAAATGCTATCTTATTGATTTTGGGACACAGAAACCTAATCAATAAAAGAATTTGTAATTCTTTTAGTATGAATGGTCGCATCGAGCCAAGAGGCGAGAAATAATAAAACACGTGCAAGCAGCATTGGAAACATCCGGAGATCATGAATTTGATGATGAAGAATTAGAAAAATTACTTGTAAATTATCAAAGTTATTGAAAGCTTAGCAAACAATGATAGTAAGATATCGCGGGAACTCTAAGAATCTTTTGCAGACGAAAAATATTTAGATAGATTAAATTACCTAATATTAGTAATAACAAAAAAATTTACTGCGATACCTTATGTTTGATAGAATCTAAAATCCCTCGTTGTTATTGGGAACTCCCAAAATTTCATTCAATACTTTATAGCTGCTCAAGTGGGATGAAATATTTGCTGTTAATGTGGAAAATTTGGAATCGATAGATAAAAAGCGTTTACAAGCAGTGTGGGAGTTATTTCATAAAGAACTGATATTCCTACGCAAGCAACTCCTCGTTTTAAGGTTTATCTCATTTAATCTAACAATAACTGAATTAAAAATTACTTCAATTTGAAATTGGTCTAAAAGATTTTTGATACAAAGTTGCGAAGAATTCCTTTGGTTTAAAATGCTAATTCATTTACACTAAGCAAAGATTAGAAGATTAATTCTTTGGATAATATTTATGATTTAATAATAGCACTGAAGGATTTTATTAAGAAACTTTATTCAATATTCTGAATCTAATTTTTTCAGAAATGTTTACAAGGAACCGTTGAAAAAATGTCAGGTTGAAGGATGTTTGTTAACTGTGGAACCGGATTTACTTTTCGGAAATCTTGATCAAATATGCCGGGTTTTTTACATTTCTATTATTTTTCTATAATTAATTCTCAAATAATTTTCAAAAATTTAAAAACCAAAGATTTGATAATAGTAATTATATTGAAAATGTTTTCCAGATAAGTTGGTCATTTTGTAAGTCATTTCTTAGAATATTGAATGAAGCTGGCGCTGTCAACAAAAATAGTAGTTACAGTACAACTAATCTTGTTGTGAAATTGTTCGAGCGGGCAAGTTTTTCTTGAATTTTAATAAAAATTTTCAATAAAATTATATTCTTGCAGTACATTGGAATATTTTAAAAATATATTCTGTCACTGAGATACAGTTAAATTTAATTTTAAATTTGCTAATTTTGAAATATCACAATAAAGTATTAAAATTTATTTTGTTTGAAGTTCTCCAAAGGACCATCAACAATATCTGCTTATCAGGCATACTGCATCAATTACAAAGCTACAGTGGAATATTTAGGATTAATACGAGAAAAAGAGGAACGCTTCACAGAATTTGAACGGGTAGATTCCAAATGTTTCTGTCTAAGTTAATCAACTTAAATTCACACCGTAATAAATTTTAAGCACTAAATGACGTTTTCCTACCTCTTTCCATTGTAATTAGTGCTAATTCTTTACAGTACTTCAAGTGATGCAAAAGTATTATGTTATAATTTGACGAATTCACTTTCTTCTTCGGTTTTTATAGAATTTACTCCTCGATACATTCAGGTATGTCTAACAGATCCGCGCTGTGAACGTCTACAACTGGAAGATTTGCTAATAGCGCCATTACAGCATATTACAAGGCTGCCTATTCTGTTGAAAGAAATTCACAAATATACCAAAGATAGTGACGACAAAGAACGGATTGAAAAAGTTATCGAAAACATGAACGAATCATTGAGTGGGCACAGTTTGTATTATAATAAGTAGATTGATTATTTCGTTCGATTCCACCAATTCTGTCCCATATCTTATATCAGTGCTAATTTAGGATCGATAGATGATTCCGTTCAATGGTTGCACAATTTTGAACGATTACAGCAGCTACAAAATTCTGTCATTTGGCCATCAATCATTGAATTGGAAACACGAACGTTTATTCCAGAGGTAAATCATCTGCTACCTTCTGTCATTTCAAATTTTTGATTATAACCTTAAAAGAAAGGTCAAGTTCAGGTACTGAAAGTTATAGTTAGGCAAGATTCTCAGTCTGGAGGTCAGTTTGAATGCTTGTTGTTGTGATAATTTTTCTATTACATTAAATTTGATACATATGTTATATAAACGTAACTTTGTTTTGTTATCATTAATTTTTTTAACAGTATGTTTTGGTAATCAATTATTTACAGTTCTTGCGAATAGCGCTATCCAGACAATTTTGCGAGAATCTTTTAGCACATCCAAGAAGGAAATTAATCCTTGAGGGTCATCTAGAGCTTGTTGGTCAGTGCATTAATGAATTTTATTCCTTCTATCAAATTTATTTCTTTTAAATGAACAGTTGTTTTTCTATAAGTTTATTTTCTTCAAGTTTATTTCCTCATTATTTCTGAAATTTTGCAGAAAACGGTAGAACATGTGACTGTTATGCGTTCTTATTCAACGATATGTTTCTACTAACAAAAATGAAGAAATGCACGAAAATTAAAGTTTCTATTTTTGCTTAGAATTTGAAAAGCTAAAGATAAGATTTAAATCAAATATATACGAAAAGAATTTTATATTTGAAACATTTCAGTTTCAATAAAGCATCGTTTAGCAAATTTTGTTTAAGAAGTACTACATATAGAACAGAATTTAATTATTATAAAATGTTTTAGGCTTATCAGAAGAGATAGCATATCTTAGTATATCTTATAATTAATACATTTTCGGCTACTTATTGTTTTCTAATAAATTCATTATTATCACAATTACTAATTATAGAAAGGTACGACACAGTTGACGAAATCAGAACAATACGTTGTCCAAAAGCAGCCAATACCGTTGGATTCTTGTGTCTTCTGTGATGCTGATTCTAACGATTCTACTACCAGTAGTTTGTTTTTCGTTCGAAATTTTTGAAATTAACTTAAATCTTAAGCTTATCCCAATATGAAATAAGTAATTAAAATTTTTGGTTAAAATATGCATCATTAGGAAGTTAGTTCTGATAATTCTTTTTTTCAGTGTCATTAAAATTTGCATTTGTGATTATACATCTCACACGGTACTACCAAGTGGTATCGATTTTTACCTTGCAGGCTGCTAATAAGCTCGATAAAGTAAATGTTTAATTTTTCGTATGATAATCATTACATTTTATTTTGTCGTTCATGACTCTTTTTTTATCTTGCCGGAAACAATCATTTTAGAGAAAACTGGTTTTAAAATTCCGCAAAGGAAAACAGTATTCCGGATGTGGCGTTTCCTTCAATAATTAATGAAAAAGAATTTCTATCTCATTTCGAGTTGAAAATAAAACTGGAATGCAAATTTCAAATTTTCAACAAACATTCTTGCAAAATCTTAAATTCATTCCAGGAGTTATGGATTGGAAAATTCCAAGAATCAATTGAAAAGTATGAATCGATCCAGTTGAAAGATATGTTAAAATGTACCCCACTTTACTCCAGTTTATCCTTGCGGTGTTGTTCATCATCTCGTCTAATGCAACTGAATACCCGCTGTAAAAATCCCAGTGATGTAAAACCATCACATTCCAGTGAACAACTGAAGGAAGCGACAGAGAACGAAGCAGTGCAAACAGATCATCGACACAAATCGAAATCAGTGGATGCTACTATTAATATTCATAGTTCGAAATCGTCATCAGATATAAGGGCAATACAGCTCGGCGTTGAAACTATTTGACATTGTTTCATTAATTCTTGTTTTCCTGACTCCTATGAATACATTCTGTATTGCTTGGCCCAGTTGATGAAGTTTGCTTGGGCCAAGCAATAAATGATATTGAGACCGCTCTTCGAAACCATAACTTATATATATTAAAAAATAAAAAAAGTGAAAATTATAAAACTCAGTTATTCTGCGCTGAACGTTGATTCACATTAAATTTCACCACCAAAATGGCTTTGAAAAATTCGCACAAATTTCGGCTAATTTTATAAGTAGAGTTACTTAAGTCAAGTGATAAGATAGTGGGCAAATTATGAGTCCTTCGTTTACGGTTATGAAAATTGCAAACTTAAAAAAATCTCTCAACTTAAAATTGTTTGCATCCAATTTCGGTCAGCAGGCATATAGAGGAAACGTAAAATTTACTGCAAAGCAAATTTTAAAAAATTCAATTAGAATTTGAAACAAAACTGCTCTCATGAAAATTTAACTCTAAAAAATTGGAAGCTGATCAATCGTCTCTTCTCATTCCTTGCAAATTAGCCGAACAGTACCTATCTACCTTGGAAGTTATTGGATGTCACTATACATTTCAATAATTTCTGTTTCACTTCCCTTCAATATGTCTATTTATATTATTCAGTTAATTCATTGATATCATTTCTTCTCTACTGATTTATTTTCTGAAATTCTAAAAGTAAACATCAACTTTTTGATATTTTATTCTATATTTTAATGAATTTCACTTGTTTTAAAGTATATATGTATATGTTGTGATAAATGGTTTAAAGTGTAAGAAAGAAAAACACATTTTTAAAGATAAGATACAGTAACACTTAAGATACAGTAATAAGATACTTTTAAAGATACAGTAACACTCAACTGATAACTAATAAAATCGTTAAATTTCGGCCAATCAATTCTATTTCAGATTTAATTACAAAATCTCCAAACTGTTCTTCACTTTCTTTTCTCAAATTTTGAATTCAATTATTTTCATAATAAAAGTTATTTCAAAAATGATAAAAAAATCTTTTTTCCTTTTTAATTTTTTGTTTCAGTTTTTTTTTGATTATTACTTTTTTCTTTGTTTTTGCTTTTTGCTTAAAATTGGCTCACCTGCTTGTACTTCGATGTATTTCGAAATAGCCTGATGTACTTCGTCGAATAGAGGATGAAGAATTGGAACAGGCAGCGTTAGGCTGATCGCGTGAGAAGGGCTTGAAAAAGAAATTCACTAATTGAAAAAACTATGACATCAACTTCATGAGTATTTTAAGAATAAGATTTTTTCCTTTCACAATTCTACATTTCACTTCCTGAATTTTACCTAATTTCTCACCTGGAATGAAAAAGATAATGAGAATGCTTCTCTCTTTCTACAAGATTGAATCGACTGCGCCTTCCTTGCCTTTCATTGATTATGGACGGTTACAAATGAGGTCATATAGTTCAGCCGCTGCTCTTCTTAGTGTAGCAGTAAATTCTGATAACAAGAGGAAGTAAGAGTTAGACTTACAACAAACAAAGTCAAATCAAATTTACTCTAAGAATTTCGTTACTATTTTGTTTTGCATTCTGGAAACATTAAAGCGCTATCACTTTAATGTTTCCAACTGCCTGTCGCAGATGCCACACACTGAAAATAAAATACCTGTTTTTAAATCAGCTGCTCATCGATATGGAAGGATTTCGTAACCATTTTGATTATGAAGAAAGAATTTTTTTGTTTCATTCGTAAAGATGATTTTGTCAGAAAGTATTAAAGTAATGTATGTTATATTCCTTCATCGGACTTCAAACATATCATCGATTCTAACATTATTAAGATCATAAATTACCAATGTTATTCGCTCCCGTTCAAACCACCATGTATGGTTTTGCCTACGACGTTGTTATTCCCTTCGGGATTGCTCCGGAAAATCCTCCAAATTTGTGCAACGAAATTCTTCTGGTATTGCCGCAACCAACGCCTTTTGAGGGAAAAGAACTGAAATTGCGATTGTCTTCCATCTTTCGAAATAGGTTTAAATTTGGTTATTTAACCATTTCATGTAGTATCGAACTCAGTATTTATATATTTGTTGCGGAAATTAAAAGATGAGTTCACGGATTGATTCTTCCTATTCTTCATTGCCACTTGTCTCCATTAGCGCTACAATACCTCAGATGAAGTATCCTTGAACAGTTACTTAAAATTCTAAGTTACGGTCGAATAAACTTGTGATTATTTCCCTGAAATATTACTTGATTTCTGCTTCGGCCTTAAACTTTATTTCTAGAAATGAAGCTTGAATAAAATTTGCTTGAAATTTATTCAATTGTTTACGAGTTAATAAATGTTTGATGTATTTAAGCTATTTGTTATATGTATTGTTGCATTATTGTTAATGAAGAAAAATTATGATAAATTAATATTGGACAATTTTTACAATGCGTATAATTATAATTAATTTTTAGTCTACAAAGAGGTCATTCGATAAGATTTCGTCTATTAGAAAAGACATTTCAAAAGTAAGACTTTTTCTCTTCAATAATTTTCTTATCACTTTTGCTATAATCATTCAATTCCCTTTGAAAGTATAAGTTTTGTAGTAACTTCACTTCACTGTCAGGAATGAATAATATTCAAAAAAATTGGAATTTTTTGTTTTAGTGACTTTTTTGTGATTTCTTATAAGTGTTCTTATAAGATTTAGAAGTATGCGAATGGTAATCAAAAAGAGGAATTAACCAAATTAAAGAATTAAGCGATATAAAATTTAAATTTTTAGATTGCTGTGTGAAACAATCGAGGGCGATGTCTCTTATGTTCTGATCAAAGCACGATTTTGTATTTCTAGAACTTTGACATAGCTGAAGGAAGTTTTTCCGAGTTTAAATTTCCCACTCAGTATTTTGATTAAAGCATGTAGCACAAATTTTTAATTTGAATTGTTTTAATTTGACAACTTTTTAGGTTCATTCTTTAATTTAAAATATTTTTTCCATCTTACATGGCCTGTTAAATGTGATTTACAATCAGTCGTAGAATAAAACATCAAACTTTGTTCATATTTTTTGTAAGTATTTTGGTTTTAGTTAAGTTTTGTTTCGATTGAAATTACTTACATTCCGTTTGCTTCAAAAATATCATTTAAGTCAGAAATTTTCTTCACATTCTCTGAATTTCTAATTTTTTTTTGAAATTCAAGTTTTCTGATTCCTTTCCTTTTTTAACATTTTGTTTTCTCCAAGAAAGAGAAAATACTGTTACTCCTAAATTGTTTGAAAAATCATAGCTCAATAAATTTACTATTGACTGTTTCGATTCTGAATGATTTTATATTCGGAATTTTGAATAATCTCTTCGAAGATATTTGGATCAGTTCTTTTAAGATTCGTTTGTTTCCCTTCGATTTTATTTTTTTTTCTCTCTTTTTTTGTGATCTGTGGAAGATTTTGTCTTTCAGAAGCAATGGTGGAAGAACCAGCTGCGAAGCGACGATTAAAAGCGACAGGATCACTTTGTTTATCATCAACTTCTTTAATTTCTTGAATATTGCGCCATGTTTTATCTGTCATTTCTCTTGAAGTTGGCACAAGAATATTGTCTCTGCTTGATGTGAAACCTTGGATATCTTCCCTGTAATTAAAACAGTTAGATGAAAAGTTAAAAGTTTGTTAATTAAACGCGTAGGCTATTAGTTGAACATTTTCAACGTTCCGCGAATACTGTGTTATTTTTACAAATAAATAAATAACCATAAAAGTTGCTGTAAAAGAAAAGAATTTTTACTGGAAAGTGACGTCTTTGAATGTTTTCTGTATTTTATGCTTGAGATTTGTGACAGCGTCTATCAGTGCTGAGATATCTTTTTGAAAAATTTGTAATTCATTATTAGTCGCAGAAAATAAATCAAGTTTTTGTAAATAATGTAAGGCGATCGAAATATTTTCCAGCAATTCCGTTACTTCGATCTGCAAATATCAGAGGTTAGCAGTTATTGATTAGATCAGATCGGTGTAGGAAGTCGTAAATTTTCGAAAGTAATTGACATATTCTTACATCTTACACATTTTATTATCATTAATGAGATGAATAATTTAGGGAGCGTTTTTGAATAGAGATTTCGTTGGCTTTAAATTTGCTATTCTTACCTCGAGTTCTACGATACCATATAGTTTCGGGCATTTTACTGATCGATCCAATCGATCTGGAGCTTTAACTCGGTTTTCGTAAGATTGCGTTAAACTATAACAAGTTGAACAGATGATCGAATTGTTTCCAATGGCATTCAAAGTTTTCTACTGCCACATATCTACATAGTGAAAAAATTTAAAAATTCAGCCGCTGAGAAAGCTCATGCGAAAATTAAACCGACCGAGCCATGATTTCGAAGTATTAGAAGATTGATATGAATTTAAAAGTAAATAATTTATATGTAAACCATGTGAAACAAAGAGCTTTATGCGAATTTACCACTTAAATTTTATCAATGAACCATTTCTTTGCTACTTTCTTTCAATAATTTTGATGTTTCAGCACTTTCTTTTTCAGGCTGTCATGAAATCAATGATGATTTTTGATCTTGATAGTTTTTTTTGGTATGAAATATTATTCTCGAAAGTGAATCAGGTTTAATGTCAAAGTATGACAAGAAATTTACTTCGAATTTGAAAAGTTTGATGAAGGAAAGCCGAAGAAAGCGCCATAGCATACATAGATCAGAGCATTTTTCAATGACTAGCATAAGCGTAACTTTTATTTTGTAAGAATTACTTTAATTATGTTTACAGTATTCTTTAGAGTAATAAATTAAGACAAAGCATATTGCATTATATGACAGGGAAACATTCACTAAAGAATTTCTTTAAGATAATAAAAAGAGCATAAAGATATATTGATTATTTAAACATTTTTACATTATGAAATTATTTCGTAAGTAACATAATTACCAATTAATAACACTCACATTTTCATTATTCTTTATCTCTCATTGATAATCATGATAATAAGTGATAATGCAAAAGTCAGTCTCTTATCATTAAGAAAATTTCCTTTAGCAATGTTCGATTAACTGATTGATTGAGTATACAAACTAGATGAATGGAAAATTTATGCCCCAAGAGTGGGTAATATTCAATTAAGAACAGTCAATCTCATGTAGCTATGGTATTATTAAATGATACTTTGTATAGAATGACTGTCCAAGTCCCGATGATCGAGATGATATTGATAATAAAGGAAATCGTGCACATTAGGAGCGCTCTTATTCATTCTTCCAGACATTTCATGAAAAACAAAGTTTTGTTTTAATGGTTCTCCCGGGATTTTATACCGATAGTTTGGGTACGCTACAATTAGAATAATCTAAACATACATTGATTTTTGGCTCAGCGAATAATTCATTCGTTATTTGCAAACGTTCGAAAAGTGGAAAATAGTTGTACGAAAATGCATGCCTTTGAAATATAATTCATTTTTGAATTCATATTAAATATTCAAATTTTTGGTTGTCTAATAAAAAAGGGAAAAGATTGGTAAATTTGCTTCATTTCTTTTATCCTTCTATAAATGAGGTCGGCTGTTCCATTGATAGGACTTATTTACTCAAAAATAAAATGTGTGAGTAAACTTTTTAAACTAATACTTCAAATGCTGACTTCTTTCCAATTTCAATTTTTCAGACAAAGAGAAGTATATGATGACTCGTGACATATCATTACATGGCCAAGAAAGTAATGGTCTGCTTGAAAAAATTCAGGAATTTTGCAAACCGCTGATATTATCCGATGATCAATTAAGACGTGTAATGCAAGAAATGCACAATAAAATGGAAAAAGGATTGAGTGATCAACCCGGTGTGAAATCATGTCTGAAAATGTTGCCATCATTTGTAAGAGCTGTTCCTAATGGTACGGAAAAAGGTGATTATTTAGCTTTGGATTTAGGTGGTACCAATTTCCGTGTCCTACTTATACGCCTAAATAGCACTGAAGCTGAAATCTCAGGGAAAATTTACGGTGTGCCGGATTCTGTAATGAAAGGTACTGGAATCATGCTTTTTGATCATATTGCTGCATGTCTGGCTAACTTCATGGAAGATAATGATCTGAAAGGAGCTAATAAATTACCACTTGGTTTCACATTTTCATTTCCCGTCCTACAAGAAGGTTTAACATCCGGAACACTGATGCATTGGACCAAAGGATTCAACGCAAGTGGTGTAGAAGGTAAAGATGTGGTCCAGTTCTTACGTGATGCATGTAATCGACGTAAAGATATCGATATAGACATTGAAGCTTTACTAAACGATACAGTTGGTACTCTAATGGCATGTGCATTCAAAGAAAATACATGTCAAATTGGAGTGATTCTTGGAACTGGTACCAATGCATGTTACATGGAGAAATTATCAAATTGTCCAAAATTTAAGAAATTCAAATTTCACGAAGATAAATATCCAAAAGAGATGATCATCAACATGGAATGGGGCGCATTTGGCGATGATGGATGTTTAGATTTTATTCGAACAAGTTATGATTCACAAGTAGATGAACGTACTATTAATCCAGGATTTCATTTATTTGAAAAAATGATTTCTGGAATGTATATGGGTGAATTGGTACGCTATGTACTAGTATATTTAGCTAAAGAAAAGTTAATATTTGACGGAGATTATGATTCCATATCACAACCGCATTGTTTCCCAACAAAATATGTATCCGAAATTGAAACTGAACGGGGTGACGGTAAGCTTTATCAGAAAACAATGCAAATTCTGGAAGATATTGGTGTGGGACATGTTACAATTCAGGACTGCGAAATCGTTGCTTATGTTTGTTCGGTGATTAGTACAAGGTTTAAATTTAATTATAATTGAATTTAATTTAATTATAAAATTTGATCATAGCTTAAGTCTGAATTTAATTGTAATTTAAAATCCATTAAAAAACAATACGAATTTTGGAATGATGCTGATGTGAAATATATGTATCAATGAATAAAATTTAATAGTAATTTCAATCATTCAATTGCTTCAAAAATTTCCATCGATTTCAGGGCAGCACATCTTACAGCAGCTGGCATTACATGTCTACTGAATCGTTTACAGAAACCATATGTTACAGTTGGTATCGATGGGTCATTATTTCGTTTTCATCCAAATTTTGCCAGAATTATGGATCAAAAAATTGACCAATTGTTGCCAAAAAATTTAGAATATCAATTAATGTTATCAGAAGATGGAAGTGGACGAGGTGCAGCATTGGTTGCAGCTGTAGCAAGACGTATTAAACGTGAAGCACATCAAATGAGCAAATAAATTATCATCTGTCAATTAAAATATATTTGTCTGCTAAAGAATTGAAATCAAAATAATGATTTAAAGATTTTAAATTTAAAATTTAGATGCTTACATATACAACCATTATTTCAAAAACTATTACTTGTAATATTAGTTGATTCCACAACAGTACGAAAAGAAATTGAAAGAATGAAGTTGGGTTACAGTGAATAATTAATGTGAAATATAGATTGCTTTAATTACGATATTGTTAGAAATGAACTCTAAGATTGATTGTTGCAATTTTACCACAATGGACAATTACTTGATTTTATTAATTGACCATTTAATTTTTATTAAAATGGATCGAAAATAATATATATTTTATTTTGTGAACGAAAAAGAAAAAAACAAAATGGAAAAACAACAAAAATACATGTTGTTTGAAATAACAATAATAAAGATAAGACTTAGTAATAAAAGATAATGAAAATGAAATTAGTTCAATTAATAAATGGAATAATTGAATGAGTGATATATGTATCAAATTGAGATTTCCCAGATGATAATTTTATTCAAATTTCATTTCTTTTTCGAAAACAATAGACGAGAATTACAGCAACCAAAATATCATAGAAGTTTTGATAAACTGGTGATTGTGAGTGATAAGATTAAATTGAAAAATTTCTGATTCGTCGTAATAGCTATTATCTAAAGTAAATATTAAAATAAAATCAAAACAATTTTAAGCAATTACTATCTCTGATAACATTGAAAATTATTCGCTTTCAAATATTCTTTATTAATGTTCACTCAAAAACATTTTATTTCATTTTTAATTTTATGATTGGAGAACAATTGATAATTGATAATAACTTAGTTACGCTTTTATTTCTGAATATAAACTAATGAACGATTTGTTGTTGATAAACTGAGTATGATTACCTTCATTCCAAGATTTCTCCAGCTCAATAGCTAAATGTGATATCAATGCACAATCACTTACATTTTGCCATAGTGAATTTTCTCTTTCACAAATCAACAAAAATACATTTGTCAACAATTATGGTCATGATCCATATGGATTTGACCTCATTAATGGTCTTCAGTTTTGGCTTCTGTCATGATAAATTTCAGAACAGGTCTCAAAAACCATATCATAAAGAAATTGCAAAATTTTTCTTGACAACTGACCCACTAAATTCTCGGTTATATTTAATCACTCAAATTATATTGTGTGTAGAGTTTAGGTGATATTGAAATATGATAAGAAATTTTAGACGCACTAAAAAAAACATGTCATTATATAAGGCGGTGCAAATGTAAACAACCATATCAATCCAAAGTAGCTGGAAAATTGGTAGAAGAGAATTTCTCACAAAATGCATAGGTGAGAAAACAAATAATTAAATAATTCCATAGCTTTGGTAAATGCAAGATAATAAAATTTGAATTGAATTGGATTAAACCAAAAAAAGATTGACTGGAAAATTTGAAAATTTCGACTTTTAGCAACTTACCTCATCTTTATATATGGCAATCTTATCGAAATTACAATGGTGAACTTACTTTTCATATAAATCGCCAGCATCTATCAATTTTGAAGAATTTTAACAAGAATGACTGGGTTAATCTTATTTATTTTTAACTAAAGAACCAATATTTTCAGGATTAATATTTCAGAATAATAATGGTCTGTGCCTGAAGGGCATGATTAACACTTTCGTTTCTTAATTTCTGATTCCAATCTGGATTACCTCTACTTTATAATTTTAGGGCCATTTCACAACGAATGATTCATGGATTTATAGACCATTCGCCATGTTGGCTTGATAAAAGAAGAAATATTTCGTTGCAGATGAAATTTCGTGCATTTAAAAATTTGTTTCCTTCCATATTTAATGATCAACCAGCAGTTTATTTTAACAACAGTATTTTCAAAACGAATTAAAAAGTTTCACAAAAAATATCCTTCCATAAATGAAGATCCATCCATATTATAAATATTTCCTTGGATGTTTCCTAACTAATTGTCAATATGATAACATGGAAATTATGCATGTGTTTCCATTGTATTAGCTGAATGCTGCTGTTGTAAAAATGGTACTTGTTGACCATGTACTGGACAATGTCTGATATTTGTAGCTATCGGATGTGCAGTTGTCATACGATATACCACAGCGTTATTCGTTATCCCGATTCCGCTTCCAGTTTGTGTCGACGATATCTGATCCTTAATAAATTCATCTTTAAAATGAAATTTATTGAGCTATCTTGTCTTTGTATGAGACAAAAAAATAACAACTGCAATATCAGTAAAGGAATTCCATGCTTTTAAGAAAAAATTTTTCTTATTTTGTTACAAAATAGTTGTCAAAATGGACTTACAAAAAACTGTTGAGGAATGGCTGATGACTGGTTATTACCATCTAACTGGTTATTACCATCTATACAACAATGACATAACAAGGAACATATATTGTGTGGTTTATCCGAATCTCGCCTTTCCGTTTTTCGGATCGAATATATTAATGAACCGATAAGTACTAGGGTAAACGACACGAAATATAACGGGTGAAACTGAAATTTCATTGAATTTTTAAAAATTACATCCAAACATAGATTTCTACGACCAAAATTTTAAGAGTTTTTTTCTACGATCAAAGTTTTAAGAGCTTTTTTCTACGATCAAAATTTTAATCAAAATTTTATAAAGTAGATATTCTAAACCTGTAATTTTTAGATTACCTTTATTTTCCTAGCATTAGTGACAATTCATCAAGCAGATAACTTACTTCATACTTAAACAAGAATAAGCCAAAAACAAGAGTATAAAAGTCGGAAGTAAGTATTGATAAGTTGAACATAAGAGCGGAAGCTTTCTGTATTACCACGCTAACCAATGAATAGAATAGAAACATACAGATAGCAAATAAAAGATAATATAATACGATCGTTCCTGACCAACTGATTGATGCTAAATCACGATGCTCCAAAGCAGCACTAGAATAATATTTTGTGAAATAAAAAAATCAATTTTTCTCCTGTTCACCATTTAATAAGACTTACAGCTGTATCCCCGAAATAATTGAACCGAACAAGCCGACCATGCCAAGATATTCGACCCGACTATTTTGCTTTACTAAAAATTCTTCACCAACATTACCGACTGAGTATAGAACTGAACCAGTTAAACACAATACATCACCTAATACTCGATTAGAACCTGTAAAACTTATTGATAAAATGAGAATTCAAACAAAATTGAATTTGTAACACGCATAAATTACGGTCAGTTCGTTACTGTAGTATTTCTGCGGTGTCACTAATTCTCCTATGTTACTTGTACCTATTTATATATAAGCATATATATTTATTTAATATATATTATAGAGCGAAATAAATACTGAAATGCTAACACGTATCTTTTTGTTCAAACAACGTGCGTAAGCCGTTAAACAATAAAATAATTTATGAAAATAAAAAAAAAATATTAAAAATCTAAATTTGAAAAAGAAATTTCCAAAAAATAAAAGATGGGATTAATTTTTCTAAGATAATTGATTCATTTTTCAGATCATTAAATGAATAAGTTTTAATGCCATCAATCCTTAAGTATACTTGCATGATCTTGGCCACTGCTAACCTAATTTTTAATTTAAAAAATTCCAGAGCATAACTTACTTCCAGAAACATCTTTCCCCTCCAGTGCATCAGCCCAAATAAGAACAGCAATTCCGACAAGACATATTCCAACACCGATTATATGTGTTAGGAGGTAGCGGGTGGAAAGAAATAACCATGATAATAATAATACCATCGGTATTGTTGAGCAATCCAGCAGCTGCAATATCCTGTTTCAAATTGTAAAAATGCACCCTTACTCTGCTGAAATATCAGCCTCTTCTCTATAAAAGAAGATGACAGAAAAAAACTTCGAGCTGAATTTATTTGAAAGCATTACTGAAAGTGTTATATGACCACTCGGTATTACTGCGGAGAAATGGTACGCTAAAATTATTCAAAACTGTTTGACATTCTTTATTTCTGAACAACATTCATCCAAAAAGGTTAAATAACTGAATATAATATAAACTACCTGTATACTAGTTAAATTAGTAAATTGATAAGCGTAAACAATGATATAGTTAGCTTCAACATCTATAACAGCCAATAGCAAATAGCGCCATCCACGTTTTCTAAGCACTGGTAAAAATGCATTCTCTCCCTTTCGGAATACCAGCATTGTTCCATAAATAAATGATAAGAGGAAATAGTTAAGAAAACTCTGAGCTGAAATTCAATTTTTAGCAATGCATGATAGTGCTTAAAAAATAAAAATTCCATAAGCAAATTTTTATTTGCTTTGCTTGCAAATCTTCCTTTCGGAACAATAACCAACAGCAAATAGCTCTAGATAAGTTAAAAATACTTATTTTTAAATTAAGGCTTGTAGTATTTAATAACTCTAACTTTGTTTTCATTACATGAAATTCAAAACTAATCATTTCTACAGTCCCAGGAATTTATACTGATTATTAGCTTCACAATTTTGCGTATTTTATCTAAAGTCTTTGTCTAAAAGTCTATTACACTTCATTTGTGAATGGTACCTGTGGGAGTATTCACTCCTCTGTTACTGAGTAGTTGACTACTAACACCTGTACCGCATAAGCACAGTGATAGAATTTGTCCATAAACAATGTTTCGGAATGTTCGCCTGAAATATATGATCATTGTAAACATGAAATTAAAAATGAGTTTTTCCCATAAGAACGATATAAACAAACATGAAAATAAAATTATCGGCGCTTTCAAATTTTTAAAACAACAAATGTGAAGGAGTGGAAGAAAAAGAAACCTGAGGATATCATTTTTGCAACAAGGTGAGCAATCGATTCCTTCTTCTTCCTGATAGGATGTTATTGCATCTAATGATGCAGGTGTCTTTAATGAGGTATTTATCGGCTTCATTGGCGGTCCCGTATATGATGCACCACTGCTAGCCATTGGTATGACACCGTTTGCGGCCCAAGTTCTGTCAACAATTACCTGTGGTGTTAAAGGTTGCTGTGACGACATGGTTGTATAATAATTCCTAAAAAATACCATTTATTGGAAAATCGTAATAAACCATTGAAATAATCAAAGTATTTTCGTATCGTAGAAATCTATACATTAATTTTTATAATACAAAAATGCTTAGAATTTGTTTAATATTTCATCACAATCATTATTCGCTTAGCTCTTTTATTTCACAAGGGCTTAACCCCCTTAGCTTCCTTTGTTTCTAAAGGGTTATAAATAATGCGCTGTTTGTTAAATGTTTGTAAAATGCTAACTTTACCCTTTCCTCAAATAGCTCTCTTTGTCTCTTTATTTTCAAAAGAACTACAAGTACTCCTTGAATTGAATGGAAGCGTACTATTATCATCAAAACTCCAAGAAGACAACAATCGAGTATTAGTAGAAGAGAAAAAATCCTACGTCAAGCAATAAACTTATATTCGTCTGAGTCAAAAAAAGGGAAAGAAACTTCTATGATTTTCATTTGAATAATTTGGAAGTGATTAAGCCAATTAATACAATAGCAATAGCAAGTTGAAGAGTAATACTAAATAAAAGTAATAAATTCAATAGTAATTTAAGCAATCTTTCGGAATGATATGACTTCTATCTTGAAATCTTTTTTAAACTAATATACATTTATGTTTCGTGTTCAGCCTTAATATTTCCAAATACCTCCCGGAAAGCGTGTTGTTTCACCGTTTGATTAAATTATAAAATCTGATTAATATCCGAGAAGTAGTAGTATTGACATATGACTTCATCTATGTTTAATTTGCAAATACGCTCAGTGATTTGCATAACAATGCATATATATGCCAACTTTACATTTTTATCAACCTTTGATCTGTCATTTTTCCTGCCAACAAATATAATCTATAAATGTAATTTCTCTGTAACATCCAAAAAATGTAAAATTAAAAGTCATTAAAAAATCATAAAGTTTTGATCAAAAAAATATGGAAAAAAGTATTTATGATTTTGGTGATAATAATCAATAGTCAGTAGCTTAAAAGATTGAAACAAATCGAATACACAACTATCAGTCTCTTTTAGAGGTCATTGAAGGTCACATTTCACTTTATCTAACGATAAAAACATTATAACGAAACTAATATCGATTATGATTGTGAGTGATTTAAATTGAGAAATTTATTTAGATTTATCCTACGATAACAATTTCCATCTTTAATATCTTTTACATTTTTTAATTCCCTCATTTTTCTTATTTGACTAACTAAAAGAACTTTAAAAAAAAACTTTTAGCGATTTGTAAACATATTAAAAAATATGGTCTGAAACATTTAATAAGCTATTCAAATATAGCGACAGCAACAATTTGTTCCGAAAGTAAATATTTATTTTGCCATGAAACATAACACAGATATTTCCTATCTTTTTGCCTTTAAACCTTTAAACCTTTTGTTCCTTCCTTTCCTTACAACCAGCATAACGATTTCTTTCAACATACCTTTCAGGTGCATTTAAACGATTTTCATTAAGTATTAACGCATCATTTTTAATAAAAATTGAAGTCAACATTTGAAATGAAACATGTAAAGTAAGGTCAGTGTGTTGCAGGAAAAATTTGAAAAAAAATTTCTAATTGAAGTAAAAGTCAAGAAGCAGCAGAAATATATCTTGTCCGATTTGATAGCAATTTGGAAATAAGATCTAATAGTTTCAAAACAAGATCAACTTATAAATTTGCTTGAAAATCATGACACTACGCAAATTCAAAATCGAAAATAATTGAAGTCATAGTGTGAAAGCTCACTTGTTACACCCATATAAAATAAGTGTCTAAAACGAGGAAGAATGGTTAAGTCAATATCAAAAGAAATCATTTTACTAAAACATTACCTAGCTGGCATGTTTTTAAACAAATTTTTCTTCTTTTTAGAAGTAAGAAAATTAGTTAAGAAAGATAATTATCCGATACATATATTAACAGCAATGATTTCATTTGATAGATTCGTTTGTCGTATGACTATCATAACTGCTTTGAAACACTGGTTATCAGTGATAAGTTTCGTGTAAAAATTAGATCACAATAATAAGTTAAGGTTTCATTCCTTAATTTAGTAAATGAATATGATTTAAAAATTTGAAAATTAGCTTTTAATTAGCTTCTCATTTTTGAACATATTTAACTTTTTTACAAGACATTTCTATCGTAATTGGCCTGATTGATTGAATTTTTGGAATTGGAAAAAAAAATTTCATATTAAAAAAAATAATTTTGAATAATTTTAGTGAAATGAATTAGAAAATGATGAAATTTCATGAAACGAGTTTACCTATGTTTTAAACAATTGGCGCCAATAATAGGCCTTCGTTCCTGCAAATGCCACTCGATAATGGATGCTGCTGAATCAAAATTTGAGGATTCTGGAATTGAACAATGTTTACGGGCGAGACAAGTTACAATTGAACGTGATTGGCATTGATCATTTTGTGACGAAGTAACCGGCAATCGCCCGTATTTTGGCCACTCGCTTGAATAATGAATATTACCACAACGATTTCTTTCCACTGCAAGTGAAATTATTAAAGCATCCTTTCATTATTGATAATGAAAGAAAAACATTGATTCACCATGTATCTATCACTTCTATATGACATAAATTGGAGCGATTACTTATTATTTTTATTTTAACACCTAATCAAGAATCTATTGATTTGTAAGTAATAATCAAAGTAGAAATGGATCCCTCCTAACCTGAATCATTTCCAGAAGCAAATTTACTATTGTATAATAATAAGTGAAGGAAATAATGCTATTATTATCATTCAACAGATGCATCGTTCATTCAAACTAAACAATCACAAAAATTCTTCTCATTTAATCAACGAAATTTTGTATTATGAAATTGCAATGAAAAATTTTCTCAAATTGAATGTTGTGATAAGGAGAAATTTTTTGCTGTATAGAAAGTAATTCATATATACATTTTTTTATATTTTTATAAATGAAAAATGAATGATCATTTCAGAAAGAAAGAGATCAATTTTTAAAATTTCATATCAATCCTCCTGCCAATAGGATTTTTTCTTTCGCTTTCAATAAATCATAAATCATAAAGAAAATTTTATTTTAACAAGCAATGTCAAAATTGGAACAATTCCAGAATAGGATGACTTGAGTGGTAACTATCAAAGTATTTCATCTGTAATTCATTTTACAATGAATAAAGATAAGTGTATAATTAATTAAGATAGAAAAATTCATTCTATTCCGCATTCCATATTTATTACAGCAAAAAAAAAGGAATATGCTGCAAAGTGCAAATGAGTAATACACTAAAGTAAAATTTTGTTTTTAAAAATGTTTTCTGAAAATTATCGGAATAACGCTACTAAACCGATGAAATTATGCATAAAGAAATTAATATAGAAGTTGGGATTTTAAGCCTATCATGGATATAGATTTCTGATAATCTCATAAATTTAGAGATTTTGATAATCTCATAGATTTAGAGATTTTGATAATCTCATGGGTTTAGAGATTTCTAATAATCAATCTCATCAAAACAATTTGGAATTTGTTTTCATCTAAATCATAGCAGCGATGAATAGGATTATGATTACAACTGCAGTTGTAATAAAATTTATGATAATGAGAAATCACTGATAACGTTGTTTACATCATTACTTATGAAAATTAGACGACGTAATAGTGATAGAGTGATAATTAATTCAGCACTTAAAACTAATAGCAATAGCAAATAGGAGAAAAAAATAAATATATGATAGTACGATATTATTTCTAAGATATTCTTAAGAAAAAAAAATGTCATATTTGCATATAATCTGTAGTATTAGCAGTAATTCTTGCTGTACCTTCCGTATTACAACTTCAATCTGTTTAACGGAGGTGAAAAACAGTAGCATGAATAAAGCATAACTAGCATGATCTTAAATGAAGTGTAACCTGAATGGACTGAATCTTCATCTGAAGATCTTTAATCATAACACTACAGGAAAGCTTGAAACTCAAATAACATAAGCTAATGAACCTTCGTAAGTGAGTGATGAAATTACAATTGCTAATATAAAGTATTAGATCTTCATTCCCTTATTTTTAAACAGATATCTGATACTTTTGAATAATATAAAAGAAATATTGGCTGCTTCAAATCATTAAAGCCAATGTTGACATAAATTTTATTTTCGCAAATTATTCAATTTAAACTAAACCAACTCAGACTAAATGATGGATATAAATTAAATGAAGGAGGAAATAATCAAATAGACGAAAATGTATATTACAATTACATAGCTGAAAAATAGTTGAGTTTTAAATTTAAAATCATGGTAGATAATAAAACATCTTTTGGAGATAGATCAAAGACTTCAAGAAAAATTCCTATTTTTACAACTGACACTTTTAATTGTTTCCATAAATTTATAATTAAATATTTGCCACGAAAAAGTAATTGAACAAAAAAATAATCCATCATACTATTAACAAATCTATAAGAAAGAAATCCTGAAAATATTGAAAAACACTATTTGTTCAACAATCATTTTGAAGGAACTGTCAAAGAAAAACAATTAATCACAAGTTGAAGTTTAGAAAAAAACCTTAACAATTATCACTTTAATTGCTCTTTGCCCTTTTCGATACTTTTCTATCATTATCAATATAATTATCAATTTCAAAAAAAGCACCTCAGGAAAAGTAAATTCATACCTATTAGAGGGCCAAATAATGCTCCATCACATTTGCCCGTATGAAAGTTTATTCTACTCTATTCTTGAAAAAAAGAATAGCAAATCTACTCTCTCTCTCTGTGTATGTTATGTTTATTGCAGAATGAGAAGCGATCGCTTCACAAGAAACCATAATCTCAGGCCACATTTTTAAAACTCTTTAATAATAATAAACTTTTCCGTCTATTCACTACATATATATCATCTAAGTACGTCATATAAAGTTATTTTCACAGTGTACTTACAAGTATCAATGAGCTTTGAGAGAATATCACATATGACATGAACGATGTACTTCATGTTGACAAGTAGCTAATATAAGAAAGTTCATTTTAAAATTTATACAACTTCCAAATCTTAAAATATTTGTACTTTTTTGTGATTAATTTATTTAATGCTTAATTGTTTATCAAATGTTGTTAAAATGGAAAAAAAAAAAGAAGGAAGGGAAAGAAAAAATTCCAACCTTTGATATGTTATTAGTTTTATAATGCTAATATCAAAATAAAGAGGACCATTATCAAGAAAGATACGAAGAAGAATGGGTATCACACCAAGTGACAATTACATTTCCTTATTAACCTGAAATTTTAATATACCCATATATATATATCATAGAATCTTAAATCACACGTGCGTTAACAGGCAGTATTTAACATTGAAACTTTCTCAGTATATTTGCTGAAGTAGCGCAAGAATCATTTATGGAATAAATGGTTGCGAAATTTTCATCAGTAGCACTAAGAAACAGTAATAAGAAAAAATATGATTGTTTGGAATGTGCACAGGAGGCAAAGCTGTAGAAATGGAAATGACACAATCAGAAATAGTTGAAGGCTAATGAAGTATTATTTTTTTATCAATTCTTAGAAATGATATCCGTTGTCCATTGGATAAACAAAATGACTATTGCGCTTCTTTGAGAATAGATCGGCTGTTTCGGAAAAGGAAAAAGAAAAAGGAAGAAGGCAGAGGCCCACCTGCTAAGCTTGATCAGGCCAATTCAAGGCTTTTTACACCAAGTGGACTATTCCACTTCTCTTTTTAAAAGATGCGCAAATGAAATGAAAGGGTGTAGCCTATGCTACTTTGTTATTCTTCTTCATCCTCTACTCCTAGGCCTATTGATTATTGCACAGACCTTGTTAGCCTTCCCATCTTAAGCTTAGTCACTCTGCCAAAAAAGAGGAAGTCGCAAAATGATAGTATGCCATCTAACAGTTTCATAACTGACAAACTAATTTTTACCGATCTTTTTCTTCATCTTCTCTTTCCCTTTCTCCTTTTTTCTACTCCAAAGAGTTAAATTGCCGCCTGAATTCAAAAACCTGAATTCAAAAACCGGTGATAATAATAACAATAATATCTGAAATTTTACTAATATCAAATTTTCTTTGAATGGAAGAAAAAAAGGATTTCATTGCATACATTCTTCTTTTCAACATTTACAAGCCAATTTGATTTCACTTACTTTTACAGCTTCTAAAAAATATTTCTTCAGTTGATATTACTACTATCATATTCATATTAATGCCAAAATCGAAATTGCGCATTTTAAGGAAAGAAAATATAAAGGTAAAAATCTATCAAAGTTAATTAATTAATCAGTTATGTAATTATTAGATGATATATTATCAGTAAGATTTAACAATCATTAAATTCTCTAATAAATGAGAATTTAGCAAAGAATTTTCGAATAATTTAATACTACAAAGAGAAAGACAAATTAAGGAAAACTTTATTTAATTAGTTTGTTATTTGCAATGAAAGATGAAATATGATAATATCAAAGAGGATGATATCAATTTTCCTGGTTGCACTTTTTTCTTTATCATATTGTTGTGGTGTCATTGTCATTTGTGCGGTTGGCACTTAGAAGATATTTGGAAGACAGTTATGTATTTTAGGCAGTTTAATGAATATAAAATAGATTACTATTAACATGGATAAGAAGAGACTTCTGCTGGCACGTTCTCTATTATAACTTGAAACTGTTATCTTTTATTCTGAGAATTGCATTTAGCTGATAAATATATGGCAGGAAGATTTCAGGAGAAAAATAACTCACTCCTACCAATAGAAAAAGAAAAATTCATCGTTTCATCTTTCGTCTCAACAAAGAGAAAGTTCTTCCTGATCCTTAATAAGCCAACCATAGAACAACTCATCGACCACAACACAAATCTCCCTCCATCAATCGCTATTCGATCACCAACCTAATCTGAATTAAATTTTTTCCTTATCCGTTAAATTTCTACGAATTATATGTTACATTGTGTTGAATGTATTGGGGGTTTCCTTTCCGTTCATTTTAGATTATTTTTCTCTCAATTTTTCATAAATTCCACAGTTTTCGAATCTCGTGCATTTTTTTGAGTGATAGCAGAAATTTTCCATGGAAATAATGTCCAGGAAAACCTAAGCACAGCGTTATTTTTGCCTTTTCTATTTCTGATGAATGGCAAAGTTGGAAAGGATAGCTGAGTAAGCATAGTGCGAAATTTAATTTATTTATTTAATTTAGTTTATATTTTTTGTATGAGGAAGAACTCAATTTGATATCACTGATCGATGTTCATGCATATCACTCAGTTGCATTGATAATTTGCTGTGCATAAAAGTATTAAAATATTTGCGAAATATGCATTCTCTACCACTTTGCAAACATCTCAGCTACTTTACCAACAACACAATTTTACAATGTCGGGTGAGTAAGTGAGTAAAATTTCATTTCAGATTTAAATTTTATCAATCAAATAAATTCATTTGCTTCCAAAAGCGACCTTTCACTATTTGCTTTTTTTATCAAGCGTATGTAAGACACATTACATATTTCCATTTAACTGAATACTTTCTTGTTCATTGCCCTATTTACTTTTAACTGTTGAATGATTTTCCTTCATATATCATCTTGCCATTAGTAAAGAGTTAGTTCATTTGCATCTTGATTTCCTCTTGATTCAATTAATCTGAATTACTTGTTATTATTTTTGCAGTTCACATGGATTCTACGAAGGGTTTTAGCTCCAGAACCGACACAGCCAGGATGTATGCAACGAGATCCGTCCGAACATCCAGATTTGATGAAAT